ACTTGGTAGCCCAGGCTGGCCTCGAACTCACAGAGATCCGCCTGGCTCTGCCTCCCGAGTGCTGGGATTAAAGGCGTGCGCCACCACCGCCCGGCGAAATCCTGCTTCTTACACTGAGTATATATGTGAGTGTGTGTGTGTGTGTGTGTGTGTGTGTGTGTGTTGCACACACACACTTGTGCACAGAGTATGCCTGTATGTGCTTGTGCATGAGGAAGGCAGAGGCCAATGTAGGATGTCTTTCTCTATTGGTACCCATCTTATATTTTATGGCAGGGTCTCTCCCAGAACCTAGACCTCATTATTTTGGTCAGATCAGCTTGCCGTAAGTCCTAAGGATCTGCTGGATGCTGTCTGACCTCCTCCTCAACTGGAGCTGGCTTGTGCCTGGGTACTGGGGATCTGGATTCAGGTTCTCAGGTTTTGGAGAAAAGTTTTGAGCCTCTCCAATTTGTGAGATTTTTCAGAAAATAGCATGTAAGATTTGGCTGGGAAGCTTGATAAAAATGCAGATCCTTGGGCCCCACCAGCTTCTGCAGCTGGATTGGTCTATAGGTAGCACCCAGGAATGTGAATTTAAGCAAGCCAACCAACCAGGCTAGCCTGAGGACTGAGCTATCTAGAATTCCGGTGCTAAGGGAAGATGGGTGATGTAGGCTCTTGCCAGGGCCAACCTTAGCATCCTGGCACAGACATCCTTCCCATCCACTCCCTCAGCTGTTACTCAGGCTTCCAATGAATGAATATCACAGTCCTGATATCATCAGTGGCTTGCCTTGTCCTCAGCCACCTAAGGGCACAAGTTGGAGTAGCTTAAATAAACAAACCTGCCTTAGGATCTAGATTTTCCCACTTTGTACAGCTGAACAGCTTGCTAACCTCAGTATGTCGATTTCCTCACCATTCAAATGGCCCTGGGTCCAACTGGTCAGCACTGTTGCTTCACATAGATTCTCTGGACTGTGGTAAGCCTTGGATGAAAACGAGCTCTCAGCGGTGTGGTAGCTGTTGAGACACAAGAAAGGAGAGATGGAGGAGATGCATTCACACAGAGCTTGAAGAAGGAAAACAGCAAATGTTCGTGATGATGTCCAGGTGTTGGAACCCTGTGCACTGCTTGTGTGAACGGAAAATAGTGAAGCTGCTGTGGAGAACAACTTCCTCCTCCTCCTCCCTGCTCTTCCTCCTCCCCTCCCCTCCTCCTCCTCCTCCTCCTCCTTCTTCTTCTTCTTCTCCTTCTCCTCCTCCTCCTTCTCCTTCTCCTCCTCCTCCTCCTCCTCCTCCTCCCCCCCTCCTCCTCCCCCCCTCCTTCACATCCACCTCCTCCTCCTTCTTGTGCTGCATGGCCAGGGACAGAAGTTATCCCATGATATCTCCCATGATCCCCTGGCTCCCTGAGTGGCAGTGACAGTACTATGTACCGTGGAGTGGGATCCAAACTTGGAGTCTCATTGAGAGAGAAGATCCTTACTATCATACCACAGAGGTAACCCATCATCAAGTTTCTGGGCTCCTGGTAATGTCATGAACCATGTAGTCAACCATTCCATCCACTGGCATGTGTCCCGTGTAGTTCTCAACACACCATCTCCTGGGTGGCCCTCAGGCTTCCAAGGTGTTGGCTGTTGCCTCATGGAAATGGTTGCATGAGAATGATTCGCACGCAGGGGCCATTGCTTCTAGAAGGCCAGTTCTCTAGGCCAGAGTTTTGCTTAGGGTTCCAATGGTTTATTTATTTATTTTTTCAGACACCTACTAAAGTTTGTGTGCAAATAATGCAGGCATGAAATATATGAAACAAACCTTCCTTTCTCCTGTATGCAAGGCTCTGAACGCTGGCTTTCACGGAGGTGATGGGCCTTCCTCCCTAGGGCCGAGTCTCAGTCTCCGGGCCTGAATTGAGTCTTTTTGAGCTCTTAACAATGTTTTGTTTCAGTGGTAACCTGTTGACCAGGAAATATGGGTTAAACTTAAAGAGTAAAGTAAGCGAGGCTTTCCTCCACAGAGGAAGAAAATCCGAGGCAGCCAGGCTAGTGTCTGAGACCTCCTGGCATCTTGCCAGAGGAGGGAGGCTGTGGCAGCTAAAGCTTGCCTACCTGTCTCTTTCCCTGCAGCCTGTTTTTTGTTTTTCTTGAACTTCCTGCTTCTAGAAAAGGATGAGGAGGAAAGGGACTAATTATAAGTGCACAGCAAAAAATTATGTTTTTAAAAATAAAATGTCTGGGGCTGTAGAAATGGCTCAGTAGGTGTGTGTGTGTGTGTGTGTGTGTGTGTGTGTGTGTGTGTGTGTGTGTGTGCTGCTCTGAAAGAGGACCTGAGTTCAGTTTCTAGTACCTATACTGAATGGTTTGCAATCTTCTGTCATTCCAGCTCTCGGGGATCTGACACCTTTTCTGAAGCTCTGGGGCCGTTCCCATTCACATGGGCACAAACCCTACCTCACACACGTATGCACATATTTAAATACAAAAAAAAAATCTAAAATGAAGATCTCTGATTTTGATCATATTTGGTTTTTCTAAAGCCCCCTCTGGACTTAGAATTGAACTTAATGACTGTCTCCCGGATACTAGGAGGGTTCTAAACCCGGAGAATGATGATATCTGCTTGAGGATGCAAGTTGTGAAGACGAACTAAGAGGCCAGGAGGTCACCAGCTTCTAAGGCAGAAAGTCCCCTCCCCCTGTGACGCTCAGTCCTCTGGCCCCTTGGAATCTACTTTCTTTGCTCTCTGGGATTCCAATCCCTTCTTTTAGGCCCCTGTTCCCGAACATGTATCCGCTAAGAGGCCCCTGCTCTGTGATACCACACAAACCTAACCTCTGATGCCGGGGAATGATGCAGAGCTCTGGCCCCAGCCAATAATAACAATGTTCTAACATGCTCTAGATTTGCCTCATAGGCCCCTGGCTTGCTTCCCCCACCTGCCTTTAATTTTTTCCCTTACCACAAACCAATAGAGATATGCATCAAAGACTTATCAGATAAGTGTGCCCAATAGAACTGAAATGTTCAGTCCATCCAATTTAGCAAATTCTAAATAGCTACCTTCAAGTGAGTTCAAAGAATATCATTGTTCCTAAGGTCCCCCCTTTAAAAAAAAAAATCTCCCTTGGTTAACTGAATCAAGACAGCCACTCCAAGAGAATGCAACAAAGTTTTTTTTTTAAACATGAAAAATGCAAGAAAATTGAAAGTTAACAGAACATTTTTAAGTGGTAATTTAAGTTTTCACAAAGGCTTAGGGTTGGTCCATATGCTGATGTCATTGAAAAACCCTGGGTTTAAACATAAGTACTTTAATGACTAGTTAGGGAAAGAAAAACTTTCTTTCCCAAGCAGGCAGCCATGGAGAGCCTGCCCCTGGATGCCCTTGATTACAATGGTTCTTTGTTAACAGATTGTAACTTTGCCCCAGGGCTGGGGATACACTTAAAAGGTGAGATTGTCCTTCTGGGGAGCTGAGGTTGCTCACCTCCAAGATGGATTGAAAAGAAAACATACGACCCGCACGAAACTTTATTCTTTATTCGTACTTGTCTGCATGCGTCTCTTTGCCTTGAGAAGTCTGACAAAAATCAACATCGGGGTGGAGATCCTGTCAAGCCCAAAGTCTCCCCCAGCACAACTGGATTTCCCACTCCACTGGAAAAGATGATTCACTCTTGTTGCTTGGAAACCTTTCTCAGATGAGAAAATAGCATCGTCTTTAGGTGTGTCCCTGCCTACTTAAAGCAGAAGTTGGGCACTTACGGGATTCACTGGACTCAAAGAGGAACAGCAAGAGAGAAATCGCTGCTTTGGGAGATCTAAACCATCTAGTCTTGGTGTTACGGTGTTCAAATTAGACAAGCAATTAGATCAGTGGAGGAGGGTGACTAGTGATGTTTGGGGCTCATCAAGGAGTTACTTTATCAGAGAATGGAGTGTGACATATGTCACAATAAACCAGAATATCAACCATTATTGGGTAGGGATATTCCAGGTCATATTTTAGCTAATAAACTTCTAGGAATCCAAACTTGGGAGGAGTTTGAAGGTTGGTCTCGTTTCATCTTATCGTCAAAGGAAGGGGAGCTGGAGGTGACTCCCCCCACCCCCAGTCAGTGGGTGTGTTAGTCGGTTTTCTCATCAGTACGTGATAAAATACCTGAGTGGAACAGCATCAGGAAGGAAAGGTTTCTCTTGGCTCAGACTCTCAGAGTTTTCAGTCCAGGGTGGTTTTGGAAGGCGTGCTGGTGTTGGTAGCGGCTGCAGCCTGTGGGGAGAATTCTCCATTCGGGCCAACCAGGAAACAGAGAATTAGTCAGAGACCCCAGAGCACACGGAACCTTCACAATTTTAGACCCCTACTGACCTAACTCTGGCAGCCTCACATCAGCTAAAGGTGCTAAAACTTCGAGAGCCAGGAACTGAGAGGTTAAAGCATGAAGCTTTGGTGGCTATTTCAGATTCAAACTGTCACTGCTAGGATTGGAATCCAGAGCCGTTTCCACACGGGTAGTCTTGTACCCTTTCCCATGACACTGTGGTTTGATGAGTCGCAGCTTCGTAAATTTGTTGAGATTCATCGTGAAGTTCCTTGACTTTGTGAACTCTGTTTTCCTCTCTCCTAGTGTAGTTCGGTGTCCCATTCTGAACCATTGCTAGAGTTACAAGGGACAAAGAATGTAGTAGAACACAAACAGTAGTAGAGAAGTGGGTGAGGGGCCGAGGGGGTAGTGCAGGAGGTAAAGCTCTTGCTGTATAAGCAGGAAGATAGACATTTGCTCCACAGATGCAACCCATATTAAAAAAAAAAAAAAAAAAGCTAGCATGGTGGTATATGTTTGTAATTCCAGCTCTAAGAAACAGAGACCAGGCACCCAGGCCCTTCTCTGAGAGTCTTTGGCCTGCTAGTCTAGCTTACTTGACATGTTCCAGGCCAATGGGAGACCCTGTCACAAAATAAATGGTTGGTCATTACCACGGAAAAATTCCTGAGGTTAACCTCTGGCCCCCAAATGATGCATGCACATACATATGCATGTACCTCCCCCTCCATGTAAACACACACACACACACACACACACACACACACACACACACACACACACACACACACACACACGAGTTAGTCCAAGAAGCTAGAGGAGTCTGAGAAATAGCTAAGCCATATAGGATAGGTTTTTGCTCCATCTAAATGGGGAAGCGTCTAGTGATGCTCCCTCCTGATCCCACCCACATCAGCACCGATTGACCAAGAGTTTCTTATATTCTTTATCTCCATTTCCCCCTGTAGTGGATGGATGTAGTTTTCATTCCTGTTATACCCGAGAAAGTTCGAGAAAAGTACAGCTCCAGAAAGTATAGAGAGCGAGTCGGGTAAAACAGTATCTAGATTGGCTCCAGAGCAGAAACGCTCATTTCTGATTTAATGATGCCACCCCAGGAAAGGGCTCAGGACTTTAATCATCAGACAGCTAGGAGCTGAATCCTGGCTTGACAGCTGCTTAACCATGGAAACATTTCTAAATCACTCTTGGCTCCACTTCTCTCACCTGCAATGGGAGTAATAGTAGTGTATGCCTCTCGGGGCTAATAGGGTGTAAATAAGATAATGGTAATGATGGGATTACCATAGTGCATGGCGCAGAACCAGGGTTCCTGGGTGACTGGCATCATCATCAAGTCGTAGTGTGTGCCAGGGCTGGACATGTGGTGCTTACAAAATTATAGGCTCTCACTGGGTAACCCAGGATGTTCCCTGAATTTATTGAGAGCATGGTTCTAACTATTGGGGGCAATTTTAATTCCTTTGGTGACCTTCTTTTGAATGATCGGGGTGGAAGTGGAGTCCAGGACATGCCAGGTTTGTACCCTCGAGTCTGTGCTCATGATGTTGGCTGATACTGGTGTCCAGAGGGACCTCTAGAAGGGCTCCAGGTTCGTATGTTGCTAATAATGAAGGGGGCAGAAACATGGTTACCGTAGAAGCAGAGGCATTTCACTGGGGAAAGATATACTTCCAAGACAGGAAGTGAGCTGGAGGAAGAGATGGTAGTCCAATCAGGATTCAGTAGCAGTCCAATCAGGATTCAGGCTTTTATGTTACATTGCCTGGGCTTTTCCAAGCATGTTTTGAGGTTCTGTTTACAGTTTCATGTGTCATATGTCTCACAGCATTTCAACTCTCCATGGGTGTGCACTTTAGTATTGTAATGAGCCACAGGCTGTAGCTTGAGTTTTCCTGCCTTGCCCACAGTCAGGACAAATCTCTGTTACCCGCCAGTCCCACAGCCACTCAGACCCAACCAAGTAAACACAGAGACTTATATTGCTTACAAACTGTATGGCCGTGGCAGGCTTTTTGCTAACTGTTCTTATAGCTTAAATTAATCCATTTCTATAAATCTATACCTTGCCACATGGCTCATGGCTTACTGGCATCTTCACATTCTGCTTGTCCTGGCGGTGGCTGGCAGTGACTCCTTCTGCCTTCCTGTTCTTTCTTTTCTCCTCTCTGTTAGTCCCGCCTATACTTCCTGCCTAGCCACTGGCCAATCATTGTTTTATTTATTGACCAATCAGAGCAACACATTTGCCATACAGAACATCCCACAGCAACAGGCCACCTACAGATACTGTGGAATACAGCTGTACCTGAACCGGTGACACCAGCCAGTTTCACCCACCCAAGAGGTGGGGTCACATGAGGTGCTGGGAGATGGTTCCAACGTCCTTTTTTGCTAACTTGTTTCCATATGCTGATTTTGCTAAACTCTGCATCCATCCTTCTGGACATCACTCTCCACTCGGTTCTTCTGCCCCAGTGGCTTCAGGTGTAATTCACAGTATCAGAGACAGGGTAGCATGTAGACCTGGGAAGAGAATGGTCAGCTGCTGGTTCACATTGAGATTCTGAACCCATTCTGGGGAAAACAAGGGCTGGGAGGTCTTCGTGGAAACTGGATCCCTATCACCCATGGCAGAGACCGTTCTAAGTGCACAACTGCTTCTGTCCAAGGATCTTTAAAAGTGAGTCCTTTGACACCCATCCTCAGGACTGTTAGAAGCTTCACTGGACTCTTCTGTTGAGAATTCCTGACTCCAATATGATGTTTACACAGAATGTTCCTTCCCCAATGGTGGTATCAGAGATCATTGGGACTCACCATATCTCACTCTTCTGTGCTCATATGACTTTGAATGGCACCTGCTTGGCTAGATTTGGATCTTGGCAGATTTCTCCATCTGCTTAAGCTCCACTGAGAATACTACTTCTGGAAGTGACTTACCATGTCACTTAGCCATATGAAGGCTGATTTGAGGGGAGGAGGGTACAGTCAAGTACTTCGGTGGACACTGGGGAGATTAGCATTGGAAATAGGTAGTCAGCAGAAGAGACAGGCAGGAGAGGAGAGGGAACAGAAGAAAAAGAGGGTGAAGTGATAAGAAATAGTTGAGCCTTGATCATAATTTTGTGCTGCTTCACTGTGTGGGTATGTCAAGATTGTGAATTCCAAGAAATGCTTAGGATTTCTCACGTTACAAAAGGCTAGCAATAGGCAGGCTTTCTAGTGGCTTTTCAGCATAGTGACAAAGGGGATTCTAATGTAGGTACACTATGTGTTTGGCTGTGTAAGGCCTGGTGGGAGAGACAATACCCTAAAGAGAGATGCTTGTGCCTGTCTCGATTTTTCTGCTATGTTTGAGCCGGTCTGGTTTCTACTTCTCTCTCAGGCTACCAACTTTTTCACTTGCAGGATTGAATCGGCGTGAAGAGTCAGTTGAATCTGACCTTCAAAGACATAAAACTTACCGTGTCCACCCAGCCAAGGAATAGATTTAGGGACAAAGAGCTATGCCGGGCCTGGAATGATGGAAATCTCACAAGTCAAAGGACTTTTGGTTTCTTTGTTCTCTCCCACACGGGGTATCTGTAAGACCTCATTTCGCTCAGCCCAGACTTGAATACAAAGCTGTTTCTGTAATGGAGAATGAAGACATTGGAAGCAGCCTGGGGCCCAGGGTTCCCTTCTTTTCAGTCAACCTGTCTCACAGCTTAATTTGCATATGTTCTAGCCTTTGTCTGGTGGCTTTCTATAAGTTGAAAGATGGCCACAGGCAGGATAGGAGAAAATTAGATTCCCTATCCTTAATGCAAACTGTACATCACTTTTCTATCACTAGTTTCTATTTCCTGATTTCTTTGGAATGGGGAAACTGAGGCACAGGTTTATGGACCTAAGTGCCTAGTAACCACAGAACAAATTCCTTGGCTTCTCTGATTGCCAGTATTCTTTTGTGTAAAATGGGGACTGTGACCATTTCGCTCTCACTCAGGAGTATCATGTGAGACTCAAGGTCACTTGGGTGGCAGTGTTTTATAAAATCGCTGTGAAAGTGAAATGTAGTCCCAGTTTTTGCTGCACAAAGACGGTGCCAGAGTAATCCATGTATCCCTCTTCTGACTATTCTTGTTTTCTTTTTTCTTTTCTGACTATTCTTTGGAAGGCTCCTCCATTAATTCTTCTCGCTACCACTTACTTGAGAAGGAGACATTGTGCTCCTGCAGTGCTATGCAAGAAAGTCATTGAAATGATATCATCTGTGGAGGACAGCATCAAAAGAAAGTTCCTGCATTAATTAGATCATACAGTTCTTATATTAAGTTATATTTTATATTAGCATTATGAAGAGGGCTTTGCTTTTTCCTAGTAACATTCTGGTGGAAGACTTGAAAAAAGTGAGGTGATTCCATGGGCCATAAGGACAGATACGGGGCGATGAGAGAGACTTGCAGTTGAAAAGTCAGTCAGAGGAGATTAAAGTCTGGAAAATGCCCATAGAACGATTGAATTCCGCAGGAGAAATTTCCATATCAGAACAGACCACTTGACCATATGCGTTATAGCTCTGCCTACCCCTGGTTGTAACTTTTATTAGGTTATTCCATCTGGCTCCTGGTCACAATTAGAAAGCATCATATGTGAGGAATCTTTGCAGCCTGAGGTTTTAGCTCACAGAGATTAAATATATATATATATACATATTTCCACTTATCTTTATTGGTGTGCTCGTAAAGAAAGCAAAGCTCTTTAACCAAACATTGTCTCCATGTCCATGGAGACAGAGGATGGTGAGCCAGCCACTAAGTTGTTAGATGGAGAAAACACAGGGTTGTTAGTTAGTGGTTAGGGGGAAGACATCAGTTGGCATGCTGCGCTATTAGGCTGTCTGTCTGGGCTGCTTAATGAGTGTGGTGTCTGTGTGTGCTTGGGCATGCATTCATGTGTGTGTGTGTGTGTGTGTGTGTGTGTGTGTGTGTGTGTGTGTGTGTGTGTGTTTGCACGCGCATGCGTGTGCACGCACAGACTCCCACACCTTATCACATTAGGGCACAGCTGTGACTGAGACAAAGCCATTTCTCCTCGTCCTGCCCTTTCCTTTCTCCCCTTCCTCCCCGTTGCCTCTCCCTCCCGCCCTCCAGCTCCTTTTCTTTCTCTCTCCCCTTTAACCTTTCTCTTCAAAGTCTGCTGCAGGCGCTCCGCTTTCTTGCAAGCCCAGGGTAATTGATCATTAACAGCTTAGAGAGGTATTAGTGAGGAGTAAAGGGACCTTGCTTTTTCAAGTTTTTGCTTCAAAGAAACTCTCTGGCTAAAAAGGATGAAAATGTTGATCAGGATATTGGGGCTGGAACCTACTACTTGCAAGTATCACAAGTAGGATTTTTTTTCCTTAGAGAAGAACTTGTACTAACTAACTAACTAACTAACTAACTAACTAACTAACTGAAAAGTGATCACTGTTTTCCAAAACATTATCAGAGACAAGAGAGATGACTTTGGTGTTGGCTTGCCGTAGTTGACAGAAAGGTTAAGAAGAGGATTCCTTCCCAGCCTATGAGAGGTAAGGGTCCCCACAAAGTGAGGAAATGAGCTCTAAGGCCCTGGCCTGGCCCCTAGAGAGAAAGCATTCTTGGAGCGAGCCACAGGGTGTAACATACGAAGTCCTCACCTCACCCCTAAGTGCTATGTTTAAGCCACAGTCTGCTGGATCTGGGGGCAAGTCCAAGTTCCATTTTCAATGGAACGTGCCGCTTTTCTTGTGCTCTTTAGGGCTGAGAAAGCAGTATCAGGCTTTCGGGCAAGTTCAGGCTGTGCCCTTTCCTTGCCAGATGCGATTGTCTGCATCTTCCTCCAGGTTTTGTTCTGCTTTCTTTTCAAGTGGTGCTCTGGGTAGCGTGAATTTGCTAAGTTGGACTTTTGCAATTTCCTGGCAACTGAATGCATTCCTATTTTGCAGGTTTCAAGTGCAAGGTCACTCAGATAACATAAGATACAGTGGAAAATGGTGTCCTTGTTTTCAACAAACAAACAAATCTCTTACTAGTATTCATTTAAGATATTAGGAGTGCTGGGGATAAATACAAAAGTTTATGCCCTCATCTAAATGGGCATTAGCTCAAGGAATGGTCCCTCCGTTTTGTCATGATCCATCCATCACCAGCCTGTAAAAATCAAAGGCTGACAATATTTGGTTACCTGTAGCAATGATGGACTTTCTCCTCCTAACATTTGCTTTCCTGCCCTGGGTTCTCAATAAGGACTGGAGCCTTTCTCCCTTCACCTTTGACCTGGACTTCCTGTCTCAGCATAAACATCTCCTCTCTTTGCTCCCCACAGATGCCTGCAGAAGAGCGAGCGGTGAAGCATTCTCAGACAGGGGCTTGTTTGTGTTTATTTGGCTTCCTCTGCAAAGTGCTCTAGCTGGATATAATCAGCGCTGTCCCTCGGCCTTTGTAGCGGCTTCGAGTAATGGTGTGCAGATGTCAAATGTGACGTGTCTGGGCACCAGGTAGTTTCATTCTGGTCTCATTTGCAGAGATGACTGGGTGTCCTCAGGGTGTTTGTTTCCAAGAAGCCAGCTGACCTAGAAAAACCATGACCACTCAGCAGTGAAGCTGCATGCTATAAAAATGCTGGAACATTCACTTAGCTGTTGGCTTCAAGTAGGAACACTTAAGAACTGGGCAAAAACCATGGCCTCTTTCCTTTCCTCCTCTCCTTCTTCATTTATACATGACAGTTATGAGACTCTCTGTCTCAGTTCACACCATCTGAAATAGACAGCTAAGAAGGCTGTGTCAATAAAGCTGACCATTTCAAAGAGTCTTGATGCTGGGAGCTTGGACTGGTAGTCCCAAGCTGTAAATACTTTTGTTAATGTCCTGCCTATGGCACCCCATGCCTGGGATATGCTCATCTCTTGGTGGCCACCTAGAATTAAGTGCTGTTAGTTACAAACAGAGAGTCTTCCATTAGTCCTCAAGTGATTGACACTGGACATCAATCCCAATGGAATTATTCTTATGAATTACTGTATTTATGATTCTGGCAAAATATACTTAATACAAATTTACCATTTCACTCATTTTAGATATCTTTTTATTGCTTTAACTTTTAAAATGTATTTTATGTGTTTAAAAAAAAATTGGCTTACAAAGCAATACGTTTCCCTATGGGGTTGTCATACATATTTCTTCTTAGTTGAGTCTCTACTTCCCCAACTCCTCCATCATTTCCTTGTCCTGTGTTTATCTGCTGGACCCTTTTGTCTCCAGTATTCCTCCTCCTTTTTAACTTCACATTCTTATTGTTGTAAAATACATACAACATAGGCATTACCACTTAGCCATTTGAAATGTACGGCTTTGCAGTCTTGAGAGTGTTCCTATCATTATACAGTCATTACTAGATGCATTTCCCCTATCTCTGCTCGCATAGTGCTGGGGTTCCAGGCATTTATTATTTTCTATGATGACTATTCTAAGTTCTTTGTATAAAATATTTAAATAGTCATTTTGTCGAAGATGTGTAGATAGTATGGAAACACATGAAAAGATGTTCGAGTACAATTATTCATCAAGGAAATGTAAGTAAAAGCCACAGTGAATTACTGTTATGGAGTTATAGTATGACTTACATTAAAAAGATAAACAATCAAGGGTTGATGAAGGTGTTATTCAGCAATTGTAATTCTACACGTGTACTGGGTATAAAAGTTACACTGGTACTTTGGAAAATGGTTTGGCAATTTGTAATAATGAATGATTATAGAACTCTGCATTCCTCTAGGAAGTTTACTCATGAAAAATGAAGATGTATCTTCACATAGTGGCTCATATGTGATGCCTTTTTTTTTCTAAAGATAGATTTTATTTTTAATTATGTATATGCATGTGTGTCTGTGTTAGGGTATGTGCACATGAGTGCACGTGCCTACAGAGGCCGGAAGAGGGCATTAGATCCCCTAGAGTTGGAGTTATAGGCAAGTGTGAGCTGACAGATGTGGGTACTGGGAATCACGTAGGTCCTCTGCTGACCTGTCTCTCCTACCACAATATTTGAATGTTTATAGTAACTCATTTCAACCATTTTAAGTGAACATTGCAGTGGCATTATGTATGTTCACAACAATCTGAAGTCATCACCACCATCCATTCCTCAGAACATTTTTTTTTTTAGCATCCCACACAGAGACAGACTCCATACCCACTAAACATGAACTCCCCATCATCTCTGCCTTGCAGCTCCAGGTCACCACTTTTGTTCTCTATGAATTTGACTGGTCTAGGGACCTCAGATACCTAGGCCTGTGGATATTCCCCTTTCACTTCCTAAACTCCCACTTCTCCCCTTATCAGCACTAACCATTCATCGTGCAGAACATTCCTCTAGCTTCTTTTATACATATGTAACACTTATATGTCTCCCTTGAAATGTAAAAAGACTATTGAGTACATGAATCTTCTGACTGTTCTACAGTTTATATCTTCTCATGTAACATGCCCTGAAAGTAATTTATGTTTACCTAAAAATATGTTTATTTTGTATGTGGATGTGTATGTATGTATATATGTATGTATGTATGTATGTAGTTGTATGTGTATAGTGAATATATGTGAATGTGTGTGTGTGTGTCCTTTCCCACTAATATTTACTCAATTCCCTTGAGACAAGATCTTTCACTCAGTAAGTAGCTAGACTGGTAGCCAACAGGCCCCAGCGATTCGCCCCCCCATCTGCTCACATCCTTACATGCCCCTCCAACCACTTTAATTATAGGCATGAGCATGGCCATGTCTGGCTTTTTATGTTGGCACTGGGGACCTGAGTGCACAGTCTCATGCTTCTCTGTAGGAAGCACTCTCGTCCACTGAGCCATCTTCTCAGCCTGCAGCATTTAGGCTTAATTCTGTGTTCACTGATGTCATCATATCCCATAAGAGGGATATCATCATATTCTATAAGAGGGATATCATCATATCCCATAAGAGGGATATACTACAATTTATTTAAATTCCCATCCAGTAATAGGTCAAATCTCCCGTTTTGTGTTATTATCTATGGTAAATAGACATGAATGACCTTTAAACATCCTTCTGTGTACATACACAAATTCTCTGTAAACATAATTCCTGGGAGAAGAACTGCCCAGTCAAAAGGCTCCATGTCAAAATGTACTTAGCGTTTGGACAGTTGCTGCCAAATTGTTTTTCAAAAAGGCATCATTGAGTTACACATCCCCAAATGAACAGCGAGGCTGCATTTCCCAGCATCCACCCCAGCACTTGATTTTATTAGTCTTCTAAGCTTTTGCTATTCTGACAAGAACGTCTTAAAGTTTACAATTTACAGTTACCTACTGCCACAGGAGGAGAATCTGAGGAGGAGGCCAAAGAGAGAAAGGGGAGGGAAATCGAGTTGCTCCACATGGGTGTCCTCCAAGCGATGGCGAGATCTGGACAAAGGCCGTTAAGTTCAGATAGTTCGGAGGGTAGCTGCTGCCTCACTTCTCCTGTATCCACAAACTACGTGGTCTCCTGCTGTGTAAGCAGGAGTGACCAAGGTTGTCTGGGTTCTTGTGAGCTGGCTGTGCTAGCCTTTTTGCACACGAGAGTTTTTTTGGTGTTGGAAACAGCAATGATCTTAGCTGCTTTGTGGCTTGTCTTGAATTAATTTCCTTCTCCTCACTGAGGATCTGCGTGCCACTGGGGTTATGTGCTCATGATCCCTGAAGAGAAATGGAATTATGGCGGGAGACTGAAGCAAACACTGACTGGACCCCAGTAGGTAGTGACCAGCCTGTCCAGGCTGACCCTTTCCACTGTGGAAAGTCAGCCATTGTTTCTGGAAATGCATAATATTTATTATAGTCTGAAGAAGTGGGCCCAAGGTACAGTTCTTCCCTGAGATCAAGGGTCACGTTGGTCACTCGGCGCTTCAGGACTGGGCTACTCACAAAGAGGGAAAGGGAGAGATATGGACCACCTTCTATGTGCCATTTTGACGGTTTGTCTTCATTATCAAATTGGTACAATTTAAAGCCATCTGGGAAGAGAGTCTCAATGAGGGACTGCTTAGATCATGTGAGCATATATATGGGGGATTAATTATCTTGATTACATTAGTTGAGGCAGGAAGACACTTCCCACTCCATATTTGTGGGCGCCATGGGCCCTGACCCCCGACTGTGAGTGGCTGTAGCCTTGCTTGCCTGACCAGGTGTCCTTCCTATTCAGATTCCCTGCCGGTGTCCTTCTCACCTTAGGATCATCGGAGAGCTTACCGGAGGCTCTTTGTTCCTACATCCTGCTTGTGATGTAAACAACTTAGGTGCATCCTGTATTTGGTGTAAACAACTTAGATGC